ACGGTAATTCGATGAAAACTAAAGATTACGATAGTTTTAAAAAGGAGATTACGCTAGTTTTTTTACCGCTTAAACCGTAATCTTGTCTCTGGCTTCATCCAATCTATTTGAATTCTTGATATCTATTCTGAAAAACAAGCTGAAAAAGCTATCAAAAACTGTACAAAATCCTAATTCTTGATTCCTCATTCTCTTTGTTTCTGTGAAATTGTTGTGTTGATTTTTCCCGAAAACTTCATCAGCTTTTCAGCTTCATCCCTTGAGATTTTATGAAACAAAGTTTTCAGCTTTCAGCTATCTCGAAATCCCTCTCTTCTCACTTCAAATTTTCTCCTGAAATCACTGAAATGGCTGAAGAAAGAAGACAACTTCCCTGGGGAGAAAAAGGTTTGTGAAAAAAAAGCGAAATTTTGGATGATTTATTCTGAAGTAGTAGAAAAATAGGTTTTGAAAAGAAATTCACAGGGGAATTTGTAAGGACAAAACAAAAAACACCAACGTTTTTTTGTGGGCCATAGATAAAGTAGAAGGTTTGTAGCCTTCATCACTGACTTAGTTGATCGGGTGTCCTTTGTGCGCATCACTAAACACACTTATCACTAAATACACCTCATTTTTCCGTTTCTTCTTCATTCTTTACAAACTTTTGGGAGTGGGACAAATGCGACCTTTTTTTTGCGCACCCGGACATTTGCGCACCTTTGTTTCCGCACCTTGCCCATTAGCGCACCTTTTTTCGCGTTTTAGCTCTAAAAAGCTCTAAAAAGCTAATATTAACCCATTTCTATTCCAAAAGTTGTTTTTCTAGGTAATTTTAGGGCGTAGAATCGAAATAAGAATAAGGTCTTAAATACGATATATAATTTGTCGAGTGTTAAATACGAATTTAAAAGCAGAGCCTCGGCAGGATGCCAAGCCACGCCCCCTCACGTCAAGCTCTATATAATAAAATTTAATTTTCTTTCTTTATGTCGGAATGTGAGAGAATATTTCTTTTACGGGGAGTGGGACAAATGCGACCTTTTTTTTTGCGGACCCGGACATTTGCGCACCTTTGTTTCCGCACCTTGCCCATTAGCGCACCTTTTTTCGCGTTTTAGCTCTAAAAAGCTAATATTAACCAATTTCTATCCCAAAAGTTGTTTTTCTAGGTAATTTTAGGGCGTAGAATCGAAATTTTGACATAACAGAACGTGTGGAACCAATTTGAAGACAAAGAGAAAGACAAAACGGCTAGATCAAATTACAGAAAATTGTCGATTTTTCTCTTTGTATAACTCCGTCCGTTTGTTTCCACAAGCTCTGATATGTCAAAATTTGAATTCGACACCCTCAAATTACCTAGAAAAACAACATTTGGAATAGAAATTGGTTAATTTTAGCTTTTTAGAGCTTTTTTAAAACGCGAAAAAAGATGCGCAAGGTGCCGAAAAAAAGGTGCGCAAATGTCCGGGTGCGCAAAAAAAAGGTAGCATTTGTCCCACTCCCCAAACTTTAGCAGAAAAAAGAAAATTAAATGCCCCAGAAAGGGTGAGTTTAGTGCTGAGCACAAAGTAAACGCGAAAAAACAAGTTCTTCGTTGCATTTCAATGTTATTTGATGATTTAAAATCGTAAAAATCTCAGCTCTATTCAGGGTTTAAAAAAACGAGACTTAACAAAATTACGAGATTCTCCAAAGCCTGAGCTAATGAAATTCATTTCTTCGAGGGTGAGGGTGGAAGAGATTTTTGCTCATTTTGAACAGATCACAAAACTAGTTCATAATGTGATAAACTGTTTCACATAAGGCGTAACCCATACTAGGGTATCTATGGTTATAAAAGCCTTGATAAAGTTCTTGACAAATTTGACAAGGATAGACAAACAAAGTACCTGGATCAGCCCTGGCTTTGGCCTTTCACTGTCTAGGATAATCCAAGCTTTAATCTTATAACAGGACCCTCTGGGCAAAGATGGTCAAATCTAAATTTGACAAGAGCAGCTCGGACAAACTCGCACAAACTCGTTTACTACTCGTTCATACTTGAAAAATTTCATTAGATCGGTCAGAAGCCAGGCTAGTTTAGTAGATCAACCCTGGCTAGTTTAGTAGATCAACCCTGGCTTTTGGGGCCCCCCCCCGGGGGGTGGGGGCCCCCCCCCGGTTGTTTGGTCCCCCCCCCTGGTTGTTTTTGCCCTCTTCTAACTTGTCTGGATCTAGCCTAGCCCAAGCTTTTGCCTTTGCATATATTGGGTTAGAGAAAATGAAATTTAAAGACACTAGGTATACCTTAAACTAGACTGAATACCCTAATCTAGACTGAATACCGTAATCCAGCTAATCTTGCCTGAATACCTTAATCTAGACTGAATATCTAGACTAGACTGGTTGGAATGGTCCAACCCAGAAGGTTCATGACTCGAAGATCTATTGGGCTGAGGAAAATGAAATGGTGCAGAACGTTAAAGACACTTTTTGCACGCCTTCTTTTAATTAAGATCTTGTTTCAGCAAAAGGCTGCTATTTCTCTCTATTTCTCTAGAAAATGACTTTTGAGAGATTCCACAAAGCTTTTCTTTCGTCAAGTTTATGCACTCCCAAGCACAGCTAGTCAAAATGGCGAAGGGTTTGACCGATCGTCAAAGAGTTTTACCAGTTTCTTCCAAATAGACCTCCTTTGGTGTCTACATAAAAAAGATAAAGCATAGTCAATTACATAAATTGACAAATTTTCAGGAAGATATCTTCAACTGTTTTCTCTAAATGACAGTTTATAGATTCTGTGGAAAAAATGGCTTTTGTTGAGCTGAGGCGCTGTTTGAGTTTTCTTTTAAATGCCATTTTGTAGAGAATTAGTTAACCTTTCTACTGATATCAAACGCGTCTCATTTGATGAAATCTGAAGTTTTAGAAATTTCTATGATTTTCGGCGCCATTTCATTCTCCCAATAGGTCTTCGAGTCATGAACCTTCTGGGTTGGAATGGTCAAACCTAAGAGATTGACAAGAGCAGCCTAAACAAGCCAGGATCCGGTGGCTGGTACAAAGCTCGTACTCATCCAGGTTTTAGAAATTTACTAACCAGATTAACCAGGCCAGGTTCTAGCTATTTGAGCAGCTTCACTATCTACAAATTAAAGCTGAGCAAATCTAACAATCTAACAAGTTTAACGTATATAAGTATATAAACTTAGTTCCATAGGTAAACATTGCACTGATACAAAATAAGATTTTGTTTCAGTGCAATATTTTATCTCTATGAGTGGATGCAAATTTCGGACTGCGTTTAAAGGCATACATAAGATTTCTCTAGTAGCAAGCAACTTGTCAGATATTCACAATTCCACTCAAAGTTTAACGGTATTGTAACTTGGTTGCACTTTTTTGATAGCGCTATTTGCTCTAATCTTTGTTTTTTTTTCTTTTAGTCCAACTTAATCAAATTCCGCATTTTCAACGAGTGGGAGGGTGGGAATAGAGGGGGAAGGGGCCAAAAAAAAGCGTGAAAATGGGGTGTTGCCCCGGGGCGGTCCCAATCGAGGAAAGTGAAAGAGAGAAGGGGAAAGGCTAAGTGGGGAAAAGGGGATGAGGGCAACCAAGCCTCTCCGCTCACCCCAAATTTTTCCCTTCTCAGTCCATCTGCAAGCGCTTCTGGTTTTATGTTCCATTACTCTAATTGTGGCTTTCTTTTTTGCTATTTTCCCACCCAACAACTAGATCCCGCTAATCAGTGATCATCTTTGGAAACTGAATCCCACTCTAGTAATCCCACTCTAGTAATTCTAGTAATAACACTTCCACTCTAGTAATCCCACTCTAGTAATCTCTAGTAATAACACTTCCACTCTAGTAATCCCACTCTAGTAATCTCTAGTAATAACACTTCCACTCTAGTAATCCCACTCTAGTAATCCCACTCTAGTAATCTCTAGTAATAACGCTTTCACTCTAGTAATCCCACTCTAGTCTCGTAATCTCGAGAAGTCTAGTCTAGTAATCTCGAGAATAACATTATTTAATTCTACATATTATAAAGTGACTAGAAATAGCTCTGTATTTGTATTTTTATCTGTTATTTGTTCTGTATTTGTTCAAGATTACATTGATTTTTTTCAAATTTGAACTCCGGCTTGTTACTTTTTTGACCAGCCATTTTTAAGCGTTTATAATAATTTATCTATAAATGATAAAGTCATGAAATCTTGAACATATACAGAAAACTATATGAATTTTCATTTAAAAAAAGAAATTAATCGTTTTGCTCGACAAATAACAGAAATATGAGCCTAGAAGGGGCATTAGAACGGGTTATTTCTTGTCACTTTGTATGTAAAAGCTTCATCGGTTAGAGTTTTCTCGTTCATTTCTCAAATGAGACTCAATTTATTGTTATTTCTAATTTTGTCTTGTTTTCACGAAGCCACATGTACATTATAGCGTACTTGTGACTTGTGTAAACATAAGCAAATTCATTTCGTTATAGTCCCATTCATGAACCGATGATTCTTGTCAATATTCTTGTTTATTTTACTCACAACATGTTAAATGTCTAGCCTGAGATCTCCAACTGTGTAGTAATGCGTTTTCTGCGTATCGTAGAGTAATGTTTTCTGCTTTAATTTCATTCTAATACAATATTTGTGATTTTCTAGTAGAAGCAACTACACAGAACGAGACAAACGGGAAATTGAAGCTTTCAGGACGTTTGAAATTGAGTTCAGAACTTATCCAGTAGCCCTGCGCATCCAATCTTTAACATCTTCCAGTGTTTCAATGACCCTTTCTGCTACAACCTAGAATCTTTGTCTTATCCTTGATTTTTCCCACCAGAAGCCCAGTCTCCCCTCTTTTTCCTTTCACCAATCCCCCTTCTCCCCTTCTCCATCTTCTCCATTCATGTCAACCTCTCCATTCTAATTGGCATTCCCATTTTTCCCCTGGTCTTTTTCATTTCTCAATCCCAGACACGATTTCAGTTTCCCAGCTGGATCATTGAAATTCGGAATTTTTCTAAAAAAATGATAGCATCCGAGCTTCCACCACAGTTCCTATGTCAACGATATGTGCTCAATGATACGCGTGAGTTCTTTGGAAACGTTTTTCTAAGCATTTTTGCATCTTTTGGCTTAATCTCAAGTTTTGCAAAGATTTTATTGATATTGTCACTCATGAATTTGTTCAAGACTTGGCTCTATTATATATCAATTCCTGAATTGTCTGTCTCACACCTGGTTCCTCCTTTTCCTCTCTTCACGTGTCTTTTGTTGTCCCAAAGAAAATGAGTACTTAAGTGCACTAGAAAGGGTGTGTTTACGAGAACACAAAGAAGTACAGCTCAACAGAAACATAACTTTGCTGGCGCACTCAACGAAAAAGAAAAGCCTCGAGTGTTTCGAGAGCACAAACTTTGCTTATTGCTTTGTTGCTTGCTTCCAATTTGCTTATATCCATTAAATCTCTTCAATTTTCTTTAAATTCATTCAAAGTTTATATCTTTGAGCTCACTTTTTTCTCACTTTTCCTTTTTTTTCACAGCAGCTGTTGCTTTTCTTTATGAATTTTTGGTCCGTTCACTTTTTTTTCTCAATTTTCATGACTTTTCGAAAGTTTCAAAAGCAAAAAGAGAGGAAAACGAGGAAAACGAAATGCATAAACTATTTTCGGGGACGAAAACGGGATACCCTAAATATGAAAACATTAGTACAGCAAAGGAAATGTGATCATACACCAAATTTTTAAGACAATCCGTATTTCTTTTTTTGAGAAAAACCCGTCAACCCAAAAGTTGATGAATTATTCAAAAAATTCCCTTTGAAAAGAGTTTAAGAAAGAGAAAAAGATAAAGAAAAGAAAAAAAAAGACTAAAAAATGCAAGTAGAAAAGAGTCTAGAACGATGAAAGGGAAAAGTTAGGGAAAGCTTTTTGTTGATGTTGTGCTGATTAGAGATTCGTTTCTATTGGGTTGGTGAATTGAAAACTGCCGGCTATCGTCATCTGTGACAGTTTGAGCACTTTCTTCAAAAGAAACCCATTTTGGTGTCAATGGAAAAGTTGTAGAGAATCAAAAATCAAAAAAAGCCATGATACTACTGTAGCGTAATTTTTGCATTGATAAAACTTTAAACATTGAAAAGTACCGTAACCACGTTTTATGAAGTTGATAAATCAGCATAGAATCATTTGTACAAAGCTTATTTCATCAATTTTCTTATATGAAAGCCAAACTCTCAAAGTTTTTCCTTGATTTCACCATCTTTTCATCATTTCCTGACCCTTTCTTCTTCTTTTTCTTCTTCTTTTCTTTTTCTTTTCTTTTTACATCCTTATGTGGATTGAGGCGGAAATTTGCCCGTTGAAAGGCCCCTTTTAGATGATTTTCTATCCGAAAAACTTTGAACTCTTTTTTTTGAGGACAAAAGCCAAAAAGAAGAAAAGTGAGAGAAAAAGTATACATTCTTCTTTTGTTTGCTTTAGATTTTCTGAGTTAACCGGTGATTTTTGAGTTCAAAAAGGCAGTGATAAAGGTCAAAGTATAAGGAAAGTTTTATAGTTCTATAGAGAATATCTATAGGGTTGGTGAATTGAAAACTGCCGGACTTTAAACTAAAATTTATTGAACATAAAGCATCAATTCATTCCAAATAATTTCCATTGTTATTGATGACTTCTGCCCATTTTACAGGCAATTTGCGGATTCCTCTTTCGGAGTAGGATTTTGGTTTTTGTGTGAGACAAATGTGAGACTCAAAAATCGAGGACTGGAGATGTCCCAGTTTGAGCACTTTCTTCAAAAGAAACCCATTTTGGTGACAATGGAAAAGTTGTAGAGAATCAAAAATTAGGCTTATAGCCAAATTTCCAAAAAGATACACTTAGTAGTTTCGCTTAAAATGCAAGTTTTGTGAAAATTTGGCATTTCTTTTGTGTAAATTTGGCATTTCTTGAAAACCAGTTTTTGAATCGTTCTGAAAATTTGAATATAAGCTTGATTTTTGATTCTCTACAAGTTTTCCATTGACACCAAAATGGGTTTCTTTTGAAGAAAGAGTTCAAACTGTCACTTATGACAATAGCCCGTAGTTTTCAATTCACCAACCCAATAGAAATTGATTGCTTTCTCATTTTAACACAAAATTTATCAATAAAACAAAAAACAACAAAAAAAACAAATAAAACAATACTTTCACTCGAATCTGACAAAGCAAATGTTTTGAAAACAAAAAAGAAACGACGACGCGGCGCTCCCATCGACTACCTCCAAATGGCGGCGACGTCAATTGGAATGCGACGTTGCGCGAAAATTAAGCTTTAAAAGGAAAATCTTTTTGGAAATTTGGGTATAAGCCTAATTTTTGATTCTCTACAACTTTTCCATTGACACCAAAATGGGGTTTCTTTTGAAGAAAGTGCTCAAACTGGGGGGTGGGACAAATGCGACCTTTTTTTAGCGCACCTGGACATTTGCGCACCTTTTTTTTTGCTGGAAAAGGCCTTAGGCAAGGCCGTAGAGCTTCGAAAATATTTCAAAATTTTTCCATATAAGGGAATCGTATGCGTAGATTCCGAATTTCGACAAATCAGACCTCGCTGACACGTCAAATTTGGGTTAAAAGGCAAAAACTACGGAACTTAACGCTTTTCCGCAGTTTTTGCCTTTTAACCCAAATTTGACGTGTCAGCGAGGTCTGATTTGTCGAAATTCGGAATCTACGCATACGATTCCCTTCTATGGAAAAATTTTTGAAGCTCTACGGCCTTGCCTAAGGCCTTTTCCAGCAAAAAAAAAGGTGCGCAAATGTCCAGGTGCGCTAAAAAAAGGTCGCATTTGTCCCACCCCCCTCAAACTGTCATATATAACAATAGCCCGCAGTTTTCAATTCACGAACCCAATAAATATAGAATTGTGCAGTTAAAAGTTAATGAAGCACTGTCAAAATATATGTTTTTGAGCATTTTAACCTTTTTCTTTTTTCTTAATTTTAAAATTCCTTGCAAATTCACGTTTTAGAGAACAATAACTATTTGTTAAAATGCAAAATTTTTTGTACAAATATGATTTTGAGTATTTAAAGTTTGCTGGATATCTAAGCTTGGCTTCTTTATGCCACGTCCGGCTATTTTGAACGCACCGTCACGCTTTGAAGGCCTATAACTTTGTCTAGAGATCAGATTATTGCTATCTTTTTATATCATTGTACAGAGAACATTTCAGACTTTCAAATGATACCAAATAGAGCTTGACTGGGTTTTTCATTCCCATGCAAACAAGGCGACATGACACTCTAGTTGGATAGGCCTCATTTGTTGAGTTGGCTCTTATTTTCTTGGACTGGATTATCCAATCAAGCTCTATTTGGTATTATTTGAAAGGCTGAAATGTCCTCTATACAATGATATAAAAAGATAGCAATAATATTGTCTCTGGATAAAGTTATAGGCCTTCAAAGAGTGACGATCCGTTGAAAACCCCGGATTTTTTCAAAATACCTGGATTCTTTCAAAATACTCGAAAACTACGAAAGAGCCAAATTTTTATGTTACCTAGTTTTTATTTTAAACATTCTACGTGTATTAGCTAGTTTTTTTTTGTTAAAGTTCTTAGACAATCAATCAAAATGTCAGACACCAAAAAAAAGGCCTTTTCCTTTGAAGACAAATGTTCTCTCATTTCTGGGTTTGGTTTTTTCTTTGCTTAAAATTGCAGCTTCGGCTTCTTTTAGCTCTAGAAGGGAATCGGAAAAAAAGTTGAAGACAAATCGGTTTCTCAAATCGCCTACGTAGAGCTCAAAAAGCAAAGGAAGATCGGCAGAATGAAAAAGTTGTAAAGGAAAATGATTTTCTTGAGATTTTCTTGAGATTTTCAATTGTTTCTTGAGAAACACCGGTACTAAAATACTGTGGGAAGGGCTTTTGACCTCAAAAACTTATTTTCAGGATTTCTCAACGTTCTAGGACTACCATTCTAGGACTACCATTCTAGGACTACCATTCTAGGACTACCATTCTAGGACTACCGTTCTAGGACTACCGTTCTAGGCCTACCATTCTAGGCCTACCGTTCTAGGCCTACCGTTCTAGGCCTACCGTTCTAGGACTACCGTTCTAGGCCTACCGTTCTAGGACTACCGTTCTAGGACTACCGTTCTAGGACTACCGTTCTAGGACTACCGTTCTAGGACTACCGTTCTAGGACTACCGTTCTAGGACTACCGTTCTAGGACTACCGTTCTAGGACTACCGTTCTAGGACTACCGTTCTAGGACTACCGTTCTAGGACTACCGTTCTAGGACTACCGTTCTAGGACTACCGTTCTAGGACTACCGTTCTAGGACTACCGTTCTAGGACTACCGTTCTAGGACTACCGTTCTAGGACTACCGTTCTAGGACTACCGTTCTAGGACTACCGTTCTAGGACTACCGTTCTAGGACTACCGTTCTAGGACTACCGTTCTAGGACTACCGTTCTAGGACTAAATATTTCCTAGGCCAAGCCAGATCAGACTTCTTGTGTAGTCGAATCCGTCCTAGACATGAGAAAATTCCAAGGCAAACCTAATTCCACCTCCATTTTCTTTGTTTCTTGACCGATTGCTCTGAAATTTTGTCTACAAGCTGAAAATCTTGATTTCTATCTTTAGACAAGAGCAACTGGCTAAAAACAAAGGTGGAATTAGGTTCGGCTTGGAATTTCGGCTTGGAATTAGGTTCGGCTTGGAATTTCGGCTTGGAAGTAGTAATTTTTAAAGCTGAACATTTCATGCTTAAAAAATTAAACCTACGTTATTTCACCTGTCTTTGTTTTACTGCAACTTTGACTTAGACTTTGACTTGTTTTACTGACGTTTTACTGCAACTTTGACTTGACAGCTAATTGTGTTTCCCCAAATCAAATAAAACCAATTCTAACTTTTTATATCATTGTACAGAGAACATTTCAGGCTTTGTTTTACTGCGAACTTTGACTTAGACTTTGACTTGCTACCAATCTGATCTATTAGATTCAGTCCAGTTCTATTTTAAATAAAAACATTGACAGTTGACAGCTAATTGTGTTTCCCCAAATCAAATCAAATCAAATAAAATAAAACCAATTTTTAAACTACAATATTTCTTTTTAGATTTCTTTGAACATTAGCTTTAAATTAATACTTTTAAGGATGATTTTTTCTCTAGAAAAAAAGTTTCTCTAATCTCTTTTCACCATTTCAGCTGTTTCGATCATTTTTCTACATTTCTAGAGAAGGAATAAAGCTTTCTATAGATAGAAACAGAAAAAAGGAAAGAAGGAAAGATGCACCTGCGATTCCCTGGGGAAATCTCAATACTTTTTCTACATAAAAAGCCAAAAGGGGAAGGAAAAGGCTTTTAAATGATCCTTTGCTTTCTAGAAAATAAGGGAAACGTTAAGAAATTTTACGAAGAATGAATTTAATTAAGTTGACTAGAAATGTACTTTGTACCTCAAAAATGTCCCATAAACGCTCTCCACTTGGTTCAGTAACTTGGCCTGCTTCTTGAGGTGTACTTTGTGCTCGAAAATGTCCCATAAACGCTTGCCAGTTGGTTCAGTAACTTGGCCTGCTTTTTGAGGTGTACTTTGTGCTCGAAAATGTCCCATAAACGCTTGCCAGTTGGTGCAGAAACTTGCAAAAACTCCTTGATGTACTTTGTGCTGGCAAATCTCTCACCTAAGAAACTTAGAGCAGTAATGGTTTTGTTCTTTTTACTCGAAAATGGAAACGCACACCTTCTAGTGCACTAGTTTTTCATTTTCTCACGATTGCTACAAGAAAAACGAGAATTTTGGTGCACTAGAAGGGGTGCGTTTCCATTTTCATCGAAAGCAAGACTGAAATTTGCCAGGTGGCATACGTTTGTGAGACTTTTTTTGAGCACAAAGTACAGCTTGACGGAGAGCTTAGTTATTAAAGCTTTAAATAACATTAGCATAGCATTTTTCTTGAAAAAAGTTAATTTTAAAATTCATCAACAATGCATTCGATAACTGAATCTATTTTTATCCTTTTTCCAAACTGACATCAGATTTTGGAAGCTAAATGGGGTCATAAAATGTAACGATATTTCTTTTGTCTATTCCCCTCAAAAAAAGCCCAATCTTTGATCTCTTATAATATTGAAGAAATCGTAAATCTCTCAGCCTCAATCGGCACTTTTTTCCTTGAGGAAAACCACTCGGTTCAGTTACCCAATTTTTAGGGAAATTGTCGGAAAATGGATGAAAAATGAATGAAAAATCGCTCTCTTTCATGCAGATTTCCGGTCTTTTCTCGTAAAAAAAATAAAGATTTTAAAAAAATCAGAGCATTCTGGTTATCGGCAATGTTGAAAATCCTCAAAAGTCTGAAATTAGAACAAGACGGATAAGCTTTGTGCTTTGGTTCAGCTACGCAATCTTTGATCTTTCAAAAGTCGTTATCTCATTCGGATTTCTATGGTACTTGGTTTAATTGCTCAAGACAATCAGTTCAGTTATAGCGTTTGGTTTACAAACAGTTAGTCAAAGAAGAATGAGTGCTTGGTTTAGATACCCAGATTGATCTAAGTGCTTGGTTCAGATATCCAAATTGACCTAAGTGATTGGTTCAGATATCCAAATTGATCTAACTGCTTGGTTTAGATACCCAGATTGATCTAAGTGCTTGGTTTAGATACCCAAATTGATCTAACTGATTGGTTCAGATACCCAAATTGATTTAACTACTTGGTTCAAATACCCAAATTGATCTAACGCTTGGTTCAGATACCTAAATTGACCTAACTGCTTGGTTCAGATACCTAAAGTGATCTAACTGCTTGGTTTAGATACCTAAATTGATCTAACTACTTGGTTCAAATACCCAAATTGACCTAACTAATGTACCCAAATAGATTGAGTATTTGTACCCGATATCTTTACTGTATCTACTCCAGAATTTGGTACAGAGTTCAGCAATGGTTCAACTGGTTCAGTTACCTGAGCTGTGCTCAGTTACCTGTGCTCAAGTCGACCGGCATCGAAACATTAAACCGAATAGTCTAAACGCTTGATTCAGTTCCCCAAATTGTTCACAAGTGCATCGTTCAATTACAGCTTGAGCTGGTGGGCTTAAAAGGCTAAAAGATAATTAAGTTAGAATCCTCAAAAGATTACCTCAAATATGATACATTAGTTCTTGTTTCAATTACCCGATTGGGATTACCATTTTCAAATCCTATATCATAAAATGACACAGTTTTTCCACAAATCTTTCAGCTTCAGCTGCAACTTAGCAAAATCTCAGAGTCAAATTTACCTAAAAAAACCGGTTTTAACGGTTTACCTAAAAAACGGAAGGCTTTTTTTTAACTAAATTACCAAATTTCAGTATCAATCTTTGCTTTTTCATAAAAAAAACTTTAATTTTTAAAAGAACAAAGCTTTTTAAGGGACCCTTTAAAAGACCAAAGCTGAAAGAAGAAAATTGATAAAGATTTCATCTTTGATGTTTCCTCGGTTTACCAAAAATTGTGCCCATTTATGGTTGTTCAAGAGGAAAATTGGAGAAAGAAAGGGAAATATATTTGTTGAGAAATAGACGATTGACACATTTCTAGCAAAAGACTCAATGAAAAGATGAAATTCGTAAATAAAAATGGGACTTTTGTTTGTGAAATTTGCTGAATTGGGCGGTATCCCCTACCTCCTGAAATAGAGGTAGAACTCTACCTCGCGAAACTGAGGTAGAGCTCTACCTCCCGAAATAGAGGTAGACCCATACCACGCGAAACTGAGGTAGAGCGAAACCGAGGTAGAGCGAAACCGAGGTAGAGCGAAACCGAGGTAGAGCGAAACCGAGGTAGAGCGAAACCGAGGTAGACCCAGACCTCGCGTAACCAAGGTAGACCCCTACCTCCCGAAATCGAGGTAGAACTCTACCTGAAATCGAGGTAGAGCCTACCTGAAATAGAGGTAGAACCAGCGAAACCGAGGTAGAGCTCTACCGAAATCGAGGTAGAGCCTACCTGAAATCGAGGTAGAGCTCTACCTCCCGAAATCGAGGTAGAGCTCTACCTCCCGAAATCGAGGTAGAGCTCTACCTCCTGAAATCGAGGTAGAGCTCTACCTCTCGAAACCAAGGTAGACCCATACCTTCCGAAACCGAGGTAGAGCCCTACCTCGAATAACCGAGGTAGACCCCTACCTCCGTGGTAGACCCATACCTCCCAAAACCGAACTTAGAGAGTAAAAAGCCAGTAATAAAAAGTGTCAGTGCCTTGCAAAACAAACATTTTATATCAAAATGAAATATTTCAGAGCTTTCCGAAACCTTTGATCTTCTCGATATGGATCGAGATGGACAATTGTCGAGAGCTGAAATCGCCGCACTTCTCAGGTAAAGAATTTCAATTGTTTTTCGCTTTCGAAATCGTTTTTGCCTCTGTTGTACTTTTGTTTTTAAAGCCGAAAGCTTTTCAATGACTGAAAATTTCATAAACTTTGTGCAATCAAAAAGATTCAGAGATTCTTTAAAGCTCTCAAGCAAAATTTTACCGAAAAATCATTTTTTGAACCCAAATTTTATGATTTTCCAACAAAATTCGTTTTTAAGTTGAAGATTTTGAAGTGGATTGGGCTTTTAGATGGATAAACGTTGAAAAATAAAAGAATATAAGGGATCACAGTAAGTAATTGAAAGAAATATGGTGTCAGTTTGCGAGGAAAACATGTTAACTTCAACAATTATTTGCTATTTCTTCAGAACGATAAACGTGGAACCAACCCGGATCGAGCTTGACTTTATCTTCGAGGAAATGGACACAAACAGTGAGTCGATGAATGAAATTCCTTATTTCTGAATCGTTTTTCCCTTTCGAAATCGTTTTTTTTGACTCTGTTGGGCTTTTGATTTCAAGGCCTGGCTTCTGACCAGGCCCTGGCTTCTGACCAGGCCAATTGGCAAAATTAGGAACAGGCAAAACCTGGCACAGAACAGGCAAACCAGGCAAAATCAGCAAAACCAGGCCCTGGCTGCCCAGGCACCAGGCAGACCAGGCCCTGAGCATCAGACCAGGCCCTGGCCAGACCAGGCCCAGGCACAGACCAGGCCCTGGCTTCTGAACCAGGCCCAGGCCTGAACCAGGCCCTGGCGACCAGGCCCTGGCTTGGCCTGGCCTGGCCGCACAGCCCTGAAGCTTTTCATTCACTGAAAATCATCCAGCAAAGCCAGCAAAACCAGCAAAACCAGCAAAACCAGCAAAGCTAGCAAAGCCAACAAAGCCAGCAAAGCCAACAAAGCCAGCAAAACCAGCAAAGCCAGCAAAATCAGCAAAAGCAGCAAAAGCAGCAAAACAAGCAAAGCCAGCAAAGCTAGCAAAGCCAACAAAGCCAGCAAAGCCAACAAAGCCAGCAAAACCAGCAAAACCAGCAAAACCAGCAAAGCCAGCAAAATCAGCAAAGCCAGCAAAATCAGCAAAAGCAGCAAAAGCAGCAAAACAAGCAAAGCCAGCAAAAGCTTGACCAAAAGCTTGAATTTAGAAATTTAAAAATCATTCTAACTATCTTTTAAACACAATATTCATCACAATAATGATGATTGATTCAAATAAATTCGGTCTTCTTGTTCTCTTCCTCATTTTTTTTGTTGAAACCCAACTTCCCCGTTTTTCCTAAGGATTACCCTGATTTCAAAATCATTTCAAAATCTTTTTCTTATTCTTTTTTCTGTTTTTTTATTTGGGTTTCTAGAGAATTTGACGCAAATTTGACCAAAAAGGAGAATCGGAGTCAGATTGAATAAATCTCGTTAGTGAAAGAGGGGATTTGGATTTGGATTTCTATTTTTGCTTAGCCATTTTAGCTATTTTAGCCAAAAAAAGGGATTTCCCAATGTTTGTAAATATGTTGATGGGAAAATTTTGAAAATAGTTTTGAAATTGAGATTTTGTCCTTTAACATTGGGTATTTTGGGTGAAATCCGATTCCCCTTTTTGGTTAATGTTGCGTCAAATTCTCTTGAGTCCTTCTGTTGACTTTCTTTGTTGTTGAGTTCTTTGTTGTTTCTTGAGCTTAGAAATCTTGATAGGATTTGAAAATTCGAGATTTCAATGCGACTGTGTTTTTGAAAAACTTTAAAAACTCTTTCCTCTTCGACTACCGTAAGCTTGTCTAGTTTGCCTATCTATTGGATAGGCAAACTATGGACGAACTATGGACAACAGGCTTTAGATGGCTTCTAGCTAGGCTACAGTAACTAGGGCAAGCTTTAGATGGCTTCTAGCTGGGCTACGGTAACTAGGGCAGGCTTTAGATGGCTTCTAGCTGGGCTACGGTAACTAGGGCAGGCTTTAGATGGCTTCTAGCTGGGCTACGGTAACTAGGGCAGGCTTTAGATGGCTTCTAGCTGGGCTACGGTAACTAGGGCAGGCTTTAGATGGCTTCTAGCTGGGCATTACGGTAACTAGGGCAGGCTTTAGATGGAGACTTCTAGCTGGGCTACGGTAACTATGGACGGCAGGCTTTAGATGGCTTCTAGCTGGGCTATGGTAACTGGGGCAAGCTTTAGAGGGCTTCTAGCTGGGCTATGGTAACTAGGGCAAGCTTTAGATGGCTTCTAGCTAGGCTACGTTAAAGTCCATAATTAAAGAACAAAGATGCTGCCGGAACTTTTCCCGGAGCATAGCATACGGGCTCAGGTCCAGACCCCAACCCTGGATCCAGAGTTGTGAGTAATGCTAGGCCAATATGCAAGACAAGACCAGAGCCAGATTTCTGAGTTGACCTTAGCCATACTTGAACTGTATTTAGAACAATTCTGTCTTGTCTTGGCTTGTTCTTGTCAATTTCCATCTGGTACAAAGTAGATATGCAAGACAAGACCAGAGCCAGGTTTCCTATTGAAATCCCTTTACTCATTTATCTTTTCAGAAACTGGCAAGATCAACAAAGAAGAATTCGTTCGCTACATGCGCAGTCCGCCCGTTCATCGAACGACTTTGAGAGAATTAGAGAAACAATTCAAGCAATTCGATCAAGATGGAGATGGAGAGATTACATATGGCAAGTTTCTTGAAATACTTGAAATACTTGAAATTCGAATTTTCTTCTCAACTTTTACATTATCCAACTCTTAAGTAAAACTTTTGGCAAAGCATTTATCAAATTTTTGTTTTTATTCAAGATTTTCCTTGAAAACACACAAATTTTTTGAGAAAACTGCTCAAAATTAGATTGACTTTTATCCAATTCTCTCGAATTTTTTTGCGTTGACGTTTCAAATTCCAAATTCGATTCGATTCTGGAAGTACCCGGGGATTGCGGGGATTTCTGTGTGTACTTTGAAAATGGAAATGGAAATAAACCAATTGATGGCTAGCAATTGATGGCTAGCAATTGATGGCTAGCAATTGATGGCTAGCAATTGATGGCTAGCAACTGATGGCTAGCAATTGATGGCTAGCAATTGATGGCTAGCATTGATGGCTAGCAATTGATGGCTAGCAACTGTGGCTAGCATTGTGGCTAGCATTGTGGCTGCAATTGTGGCTAGCAATTGTGGCTGCAATTGTGTCTCATGTGTCTGCTTGTGTCGCTTGTGTCTGCTTGTGTGCAATTGTGGCTGCAATTGATGTCTAGCAATTGATGTCTAGCAATTGATGTCTAGCAATTGATGTCTAGCAACCTTCAGATTATGGAAAAATTGTTATCGATTATGTATTGTTATTGTTCATTTCCTTTTACCGTCACTCTAGTTATGTTTAAGTCCAAATTTCTTGCAAAATGTTCATTAGATCATCAATGCTTTTATCAGAAGAAATTCATGTTGAAACGTTGCAGTTTTTGAAAGAAATAGCCTAGAACATGTTCTCTGTATTAACTTTTTTTTGAGTAGACAGATTTTAGGCAAACTTTTTGATTTTTCTTACAAGGGAAGGTCACAAAATCAAGGTGACCAATCGAAATGACCATCTGACCTAGACCATCCGACGCAGAATTTCACGCTGAATCCAAATCTGCTTTCCGTTTTTGCTAAACGGCCCTCTGTCAAAAGTTGTCAGCGTGATTTTGAGTAGACAGATTTTAGGCAAAATTTTGATTTTTTTTAGTTGGATAGCGTATGATCCTATTTTAATCGAAAATCGAAAACGAGAATAACGTGGATAGTTGGCATCAGGGCAGATTAAAAACTCGTACCGCCGGGATTAGAACCCGTGAGCTTTCGCTTGCCGGGCAACTGTGCTAACCACCACGCGACATTACACCAAAACGCACCTGATCTCCCTTTCTCCAGAGGGACTTAACTAGATCATTGTGCGGTAGCTTTCTAGAACAGGGGCTTTTTAGAAAACGGAGAGAACTAGGTGATAGAGTTAACTCCCTCTGGAGTAAAGGAGATCAGGTGCGTTTTGGTGTAATGGTTAGCACAGTTGGACAACTCGTAAGCGGTTACTCGGTAAGCGAAAGGTCGTGGGTTCGAGTCCCAGTTTTTGATCTTTTCTAGTTCCAACTAGAGGGTTAAAATTAAATTTTCAGTAAGTAATTTAAGTTTAAATCTTAAATGAAAGAATTTAAATTTAAATGAACCAATGAAAAGGGAAATTTCAGAGGAAATGAACAAAATACTGCGTGAATGCGGTGGATTGAAAGACGAGAAAGCATCGAGAGAAATGTTCAAGGCAACTGATCGAAACGGCGATGGGAGGATCTCGTTCATCGAATTTGTCACCATGATGCAAGAATAAATTTGAATTTGAATTTGAATTGCCGTATTTTCTCTAATAGTAGTGCACCCTGAGCGTCGTCTAAATTGCTCGACATCTCGAGAATTGAAAACTATAAAATAGGCATCAACTCGGCCGCACTGGTGCACTACTAGAAAATAATCAGGGAAAAGCATCTAATCTACAACCTAAAGTTGCTCAAAGATGTTCAACTGATATTCCAATTTTGAACGCTTTAGTTGAACCGAACAGTCTAAGTCTACTTAGAGCTTTGTCTAAATTCCTCGAAATCTCGAGAACCGATTATCAGAACCTATCGATGTGTGGTCGAAAATGTAGCTAACGATGAGATCTTGTGGGAGATTAGAGTGTTGAGCTTCTGGGAGAACTTTGAAAGCCGTAAAATAGTCATCAACTCGGCTCGCTGGGTGCACTACTATTAGAGAAAATAAACTTTAAAATTCGACTCGATTTGGGCTCTTTTTTATAGCTTGAGTTAAGTTTTGGGCTTTTTTTTTGATAAATTTGAAATTTCCATAGTCAATTGGATCTAAAAGCTATTCAATATAGCTTTTAGATCCTTCTAAAAGCTATATTGAATACCCAAAGCTTCTAAGAGCTTCAATACCCAAAGCTTAACCCAATTTGTAATTTGAATGTGATTTTTAGAGTTTTTCACCTTTGTTTTTAATTTTACGGTAAACGCAAGCGATCTAGCGCACCATTCAAGCTAAAATTTGATCTATGAACAGTCAAAAACGACTGAAAAACGACTAAAAACTGAAGATCCAGTGCTCTAGTTCGCGTGCGTTTACCCAAAACTCAGCACGATTCCAAATCACTACCATTTTGTCACAATTTTTATATCCAAATCGTTTTATATCTTTCCAATTCTCCATTTATGCCTTCTCTTCTCTTTCCTTTCATTTGTAAAAGTATTTTCTCCTATGGAGATTTGAATTTCAAAGACTTTTTCAATCTTTTTCAATCCTTTTCACTCTTTTTTCAATCCAATTCTGCCTAGACGAGTCATTCCATTATTACGGTACTCAAAAAAAAGAAAAACGATGAATTTTCTGATGAATAAATCTATTAAACATTTACATTTATCGAAAATGATTTGTACATAAAAGATTTTCAAAGAAAATAACACCCGATATTGTATTCTATATTCTATTATTCCCCCCCCCCCTCCCCCCCCCCCCCCCCCCCCCCAAATAATATTAAAAATTTTTATTATTTTTTTTTTTTTTTTTTTTAAAAAAAAAAAAAAAAAATAATTTTTTTCAAAAATTTTTTCAACCTTTTCCCCCCCCCCCTTCCCCCCTTTTCTATTTTTTTTGGGGGCCGGCCAGTGTTTTTTTTTTTTTAAAAAAAAAAAAAAATTTTTTTTCCTCTTTCCCAAAATTTTTTTTTTTTTCCCCCCTTTTTTTTCCCCCCCCTTAAAAAAAAATATTAAAAAAAAATATTTTTAAAAAAATTATTCTAAAATTCGTAAAAGCTCTCGAATCAAAGGCAAAAAAAAGGCTAAAGTTCTTGAAAAAATGGACTTTAAATGAATGAGACTTTAAATAAAAGAAAACTGAAATTTGTTCTGAGCCACTTAAGCTTTTTCAGAAGTTTGAGTTGAATTGGGGAACCTTTTTTGAACATCCTGTAGTATCTAGTTGTGTACTGACTGCTAGATTTGTTATAGACTGTATTTTTAGTAACAAATCTGTTGGTAAAAAATCGATGCTAAGATCCAATCGACTTCAGGGACTGTAAGCCAGGCAAAGAGCCTAGCCAGAAGCCAGAGCCTGACCAGAAGCCAGAGCCTGACCAGAAGCCAGAGCCTGACCAGAAGCCAGAGCCTGGCCAGAAGCCTGAGCCTGGCCAGAAGCCTGAGCCTGACCAGAAGCCTGAGCCTGACCAGAAGCCTGAGCCTGACCAGAAGCCTGAGCCTGACCAGAAGCCAGAGCCTGACCAGAAGCCTGAGCCTGGCCAGAAGCCTGAGCCTGGCCAGAAGCCTGAGCCTGACCAGAAGCCAGAGCCCGTATGCTAGGCTCTGGGAAAAGTTCCAGCGGCGTCTCTGATCTTTCTGATGAATTTTCTGATGAATAAATCTATATAACATTTACATTTATCGAAAATGATATGTACATAAAAGATTTTCAAAGAAAATAACACCCGATATTGTATTCTAAGATTCGTAAAAGCTCTCGAATCAAAAAAAATTTTCAGCGTCGTTGATTGATGCCGATTATGCATTGCAGGCGGTTGTTGATCTGAAAAGAACAATTTTTAAAAACAAACTAATGCCAATCATCGTAATGCTAGTGGAACAGTGCATATATCAGTGACATTACAGAGTCAAAGTGGCTAATAATATCCTGTGTCTGGTCAGTCCTCTAGCCACTAGATCAGTCCTCTAGGTCAGTCCTCTAGGTCAGTCCTCTAGGTCAGTCCTCTAGGTCAGTCCTCTAGGTCAGTCCTCTAGGTCAGTCCTCTAGCCTCTAGATCAGTCCTCTAGATCAGTCCTCTAGGTCAGTCCTCTAGCCTCTAGATCAGTCCTCTAGGTCAGTCCTCTAGCCAAAACCTAGTCACATATCTTGAGTTTACTTTAGAGTAATAAAGAAGTGGAATTGGCAAGAAAAAGCAGATTCCTGGAAAGGGATTGAACCCTAGACCTTCTGCTTTTGCTATTGCTCGTTAGAGCTAAACGGTATTGTAGCTTGCCAAGAGAAAGAAGGAAGAAGAAAGGAAGAAAGAAGGAGATACCCGGGTCTTTAGAACCCTGGGCTCCCACTTGAAAATCAGAATCAGCTATTAGTAATAAAGAAGTGAAGGAAATCCTTTTTACACGTCTATAGCCATTAAACACTTTAAACCTGATAACAATACCTGCTCTAGTGTGAAATATTTGAGGGTGAAATTGTCGATGACGATCGTGTATCGCCCGAAAGTGTACTCCGAATGCGATTTCGTCAATGGCACTGCAAAAAAATAAGTTAAATTTCTCATTATTCATACGGTTGGATTGGGGAGAGTGAAATGGCGGCGAGTTTCAAAAACGCCGACTTCTACAGGGTGAGCCAAAATTACCGTTACAATGCTCACTCACGCGCAAATGCGAAAACAAAAAAAAAAAAATGGAAGAAAGAGAACGGTAACAACTTCAGCAAATGTCAAAAAAAGTGAGGAATCGCCTGTTCAAAACGCCAAACTAATCGGTGCGGAAAATGTCACAAAAACTGGGGAACATCCCTTAGAAGAATCATCAAAAGCAAGCTCAAGTTAAAGGCCTACAAGAAAAATAAATCACAAATGCTATCAGTTGACGCTATCAACCAATTGTTGACAGTTTGAAAAAAGCGCTCGAAAAGGCTTGGGAAGAGCTGGATCTTCTATCTGGAAGAATTGGATCTCCTATCTGGAAGAGTTGGATCTCCTATCTGGAAGAATTGGATCTCCTTCTCGCCACGATCGACGCTTTTCTACGACGTTTGGACGCTTGTGTAAAAGCTATTGGAGATCTGTTATTATTGGATATTGGAGCTAAAGGAATAGTTTTTATGAATTGTTATGAGACAATAAAAGTTATTTTTAAGAGAAATCTTTAACCTTTTGAGTTGCATTTTTATACAGAGACTCTTTTATATTTTATAGTAACGGTAATTTTGGCCCACCCTGTATAACATCAAGTAGTCTTTATCAAGCGACACTAGAAATATCTAGAAGTATCTTTATCAAATGACACTATCATTTGAAAGCTTGAGTACAAATTGTTGATCTTGTTGATCTTGTTGATCTTGTTGATCTTGTTGATCTTGTTGATCTCATCATTAAATAAATTCTAAAAGTCTTTAAGGAGAAGCCCCAAATTGGGACTGACTCTTACCAAAATCGAATTATTGGGTTGAGGAGTATGAAATGGTGCCGACTTTCAAAGAAACTTTGATAAAATCAAGGAGTCTTTATCAAATAACAAATTGTAACTTTAGAAAGCTCACTTATTTCTTTACAAATCATATTTCAAATAGAACTCAAAGATCATTTTTTTCAGAGCATCTATAAATCGTTATTTAGAGAAAATAACTGACGAGATCACTACAAAAATTACATTAGAGAAAATGTAATTAGAGAAAATACGGTAATTTGACCGTTTTTCCTCAAAGCGAAGTTATGCTACCGGGTGGCCAGGTGGCAGTGCGTCCCGGCGTCCGAACTGCCAAGTTGAGCAACGTTGGGCTCGGTTAGTCTTGGGTTCGGTCCCGGTCCGGTCTTTCTTTTGAATCTTTTTTGCTTTTTTTGTTCTTACATTATTTGAGTGAGATATCACGGGTTCGATTCCTTTAGAGGTGAAAAAAAACCCTCTGCACTGAGCCAGAAAAATCCGCCGCTAGGCTAGATTTTTCTGGCTGGTTTTAACTGATTGCGTTTAGGAGATCATAAAATCCACAAAACAGAAGTTTTTCCGAATCTCTCAAAACCCATTTTATAGTGCAATGAAAGAGCTTTTTGATTATAAAAACAATAGATTATATGGAGGTTTTACGCGCTACAGAAAATTCTTTAAAAGTCAACGCCATTTCATTCTCCGCAACTCAATAGTTTTGAATTTTTTTCTCGCCAACTCACTTCGATTCCTGGGTGAGTGTCCGATTGTGATCATAAATCGATCTCCATCTTGTTCCACTTTCCATTCTCCATCACCGATGATCACAAATGAGAGACCGTCATCGAGATTGAAAAGACGACGACGAATACCTAAAATATTAATGTTACCGTATTTTCTGTAATACTACTATTTTTTCAAGTCCCCTCCAGCCTGCACTACTATTACAGAAAATACGGTATATGTTAAAAATAGATATAAAATAAAAAAAAATGTTATAGCTATGTAATTAAATGACTATTTAGACTCAGAACAAAATATTAAATAGATTTATTGCTTATTAAAGACTATTGTTATTATAAAAGGATGCAAAGGGTTTAACGACTTACCGTAAATACTGTAATAGTACCCCACCGCCATA